CCAGAGGAGGGCCACAAAAATGATCTGAGGGCTGGAGCACCTCTCCTATGAGGACAGGCTGAGAGAGTTGGGCTTGTTCAGCCTGGAGAAGAGAAGGCTGCGGGGAGACCTGATTGCAGCCTTTCAGTACTTAAAGGGGACCTATAGGAAAGATGGGGAAAATCTTTTTAGTAGGGCCAGCTGTGTCAGGACAAGGGGTAATGGTTTTAAACTAAAGGAGGGTAGGTCTAGACTAGATCTAAGGAAGAAATTCTTTACAATGAGGGTGGTGAAACACTGGAACAGGTTGCCCAGAGAGGTAGTGGAGGCCCCATCCCTGGAAACTTTCAAGACCAGGTTGGACAGGGCTCTGAGCAGCCTGATCTAGTTAGTGGTGTCCCTGCTCACTGCAGGGGGGTTGGACTAGATGACCTCTAGGGGGTCCCTTCCAACCCAAAACATTCTATGATTCTATGTATTATAGACATTGTGTTATTTCAGTCCCTTTGAACTAAAGAAACCACACACAAAATAATGGTGCCAGGGTGACCTGGACAACCGCTGTTTGGTGTAAAAACATGCAGTCTCTCCTCGATGGCCTTGTACAGTTTGGATGCTTCTGTAATTAAAGCTTTCATTTAAAGGTATTGTAGTGCTATAGAAATAATGGAGGCTATAAATACTGTCAGTGATGTAATTTTTTTCACTGAGCTTGTGTGCACTTCAAAATAATAACTTCAGAAACATGAATTTCTGTTCTTGACCAACAGAGTTTTCAACTTTGGAAAGCTGAAATGACAGCAAAAAGGCTGTCATTCAGAAGGTCTGAACCACTTGCGTGCTATACCTCTGGTACTTGTAGCACAAAGTATGTTTAAAGAACATTTGGTTTCATCCAGAAGTTTTTTTTCTTTTTTTAAAATCTGCATTACAGTATGTTGAAAGCTGAAAATGCAGCAAGAAAATACAAAAGATAAAATGCAAGGAATGGATATTATGAGTTTTATGTCAATGTTTCACTTAAAGTTGCCTTTACAGGGAATTTGATTTTGAAGCCCATCCCTCTTTCTTTGCTGGTAAAACCTAGTGGAGGCCCCAAACTTGTCATAGAATTAAAGTGTGTGGCTGGATTTTGGAGTACTTTGGACAAATATTAACTGCTAGACTGGGCTTACGGCTAAGAATGTTAAAACCTGAGTAAAATGTATGGTGTAGTTATTACATAACTTTTTAAGTTTAAGGATGTATTACTAAAGCCCCAGGCAGCTTTACCTCCTATAGGAGCTGTAGTTTGAATGAAGTATTTTAGTAGTTTTGCTCCAAGCTTGGATTAATACATCTTTAGAAGTCAGCTCTACTTGCCCCACTGGTTGGTGGTCTACCTAATGTAGGTTCTCTCTCTTCCCCCCAGCCCCGAGTAACTATCGTAACATGTGCTACAGTTCTTTTAACTTTGCATTCACTTAATCATAAAATGTGTTTATTCCAAAGAAAAGTCCTGTGGTGTTTGCTTGGGGTTTTTTTTGCCTGTCTTGCAGGATCTTTTTTTTCATTCTTGTATGTGAAATGTCTTTTAACTATAGTAATTACAGAAATAATAATGTCAGCCACACTAGCCTTTTAAAAACTGTTAAGGTCTTTCCTCTCAGTAACTACTGCTACAGTGTATATCTGCTCAATTTTCAACACTGCCTTTGCATCTTAACTTTCAGTGTCTGTTCAGCGAGAAGCAAATTTAAAGTGGATAGCATGCTTGTTACAGTGATTGGCTGAAGAATCACGGTTTTATGCTTTATTTTTTGAACAGTAATGCTGCAGCCTTTTGATTATGACCCAAACGAGAAGAGTAAACACAAGTTTATGGTACAAACAACCTATGCACCACCAAATATTTCAGATATGGAGGCAGTGGTAAGTAAAAATGGAGTAAAATGACTTGTATTTTTTTTTCCTTAAAAATTCAGGCTTAAGTGTAAAGGAATCATGTTTTTGCAGTTTATTTTTGGAGAAGTATTGGGTTTTCTCCAAACAAGTATGACTTCCATAAGTGATTCAGGGTTTTTAATATTAAATACAAGCTCAGTTCTTAGAACTCTCACCTAGTGAACTGATTGAATGAAATAGTAGTGAATCTAAGGTAAAGTCAGTTCAGTGTTAAAATATGGGCGTGTTGTACCTTATATGCAGCTAATCTGAAGGGGATAAACAGATTGTATTTGAAGGAATGATGAGTACACTTAGAGCACAAGCCTGAAGCTGTATGAAATGGGTGCATTTGGTCTGAAAAGTGTTTAAGTGAAGTGTTGAATGGGATTATAATGAATTAAAATATTTGGAAGACTAAGCTATGTCTCTCTACAAGATACCAAGTGGCTAAACATAGCACAAATGATAGTTTTATTTTCTGTTTTAACAGAACTGTTGTAGATTCAGTTCTTAGGCAGGATTGGTCTGATGAAAGATCCAGAAGGAAGATATTTAGGTTTGTGCTTGTTACTTCAGAAGTAAGGACAGCTGTTTCTGGTGTTACAAGCTGGCAGCAATGGGAAAGAAGCCTTTAGTTGTCAGAACATGCCCTTTAGGGTGTACATGGACTCCCATAAGCATGTGTATTAAGGTGGAGGGGAATGATGCACAGGCTTCTGTCTCTAGAGGCTGTTTTAAGGAATGCCTGAGTTTACACAGTTACGTTCAATGTTCACTCAAGTCAGAGGAGGAGAGGGGAAACAAAGGATAGAGATGAGGTTTTATAAATTACTGAAATCCATTAGACCTTTGCAGGTTTAGGCTCTGTCCCCTTATAGGAAGGCAAAGACTGCTGTGGCATCACTCTTCACTGGAAACAGTGGAAAACCTTTTAGATTTTGTTAAGCTTTTGAGACAAGTAGCTAGAAAGTTAACATCTCTCTTCACTGTTGGTCTGGTTTACCTTTTCTTAATATGCTCTGGTAGCTCTTGGTTATGTGTGGTAAGTGAAGCATTAACTATTTGGTGAGGATATAAAAATCCACTTTAGAAACATGTTTCAAATAACTGCTTCTTAAGTGTGTTCAGGTATAGAATACTGAGAAACAGATCTTGCAGAAAATTGGTAATTGTAGTTATAAGTTAGTGTACAACTAATGCCACTGAAAACAAACAAACAAACAAAAAAGGGAAGGATGTTATGAAAAGCCTGGATATTCTAAGTCTGTAAGATCTGCAATTCTAAGGTAACTAACTTCAGAGGATCTATTGCTGGAAAAATTGCTGCAGACTTTAGATCAGTCTCTGAGCCTAAAGATTTAAAGCAACTCCATGAAGTGTATGGTTTGGAAGTTAATTGTCAGTTGAGGAGAGAGATTCCAGCGTATTTCACAATTATTGACATATATTGATAACCATTGGAATTTAAAATGTTTTTTATAAACAGCTTTGAAAAGTTCTCTAGGCCCAAATTGTAGTGTATTATGTAGTAAAAGGAGGAAGTGCTTAAAAAGTGGTTAAATATGAAGAACTAAAGAAATTTTCTCTGGAATTAAATACAGGGTCACTAAAAGGTGTCTTTCAATCTTTTGTTTAAAATTGGTGCTTCCAAGATGGGACATAAGGAGTACACTTACCAAGGAGTGGTAGGACTAGAACTTTGTTCTTAAATGAACTCAGATGGTAACTTGTTCCTCACTGTGTGTTAAAGGAACCGTTGTATTGTCCCCTCCCTATCCCCTACAAACCCTGGATCCATCCTTGCATTCAACTTACTCATTTCCATTTCCAGACCATTTCTAGCTTTCATTACTTCGCAGCAGTCAGAGTGAACAAAAAAATATTGTTTAGAAGCAAGTCTGAAAATTGCAGCTAGGGTAAGGACAGTATTGAGCTACATAGGAGGCAGGTACTAAAAGCAAGCTTATGAACTGTTCAGATGTTGGCATGCATTTGGCATCTTAAGTAATTGTATTAATTTTCGTCTTAGTGGAAAGAAGCAAAACCTGATGAGTTAATGGACTCCAAATTGAGATGTGTGTTTGAAATGCCCAATGAAAATGATAAACTGGTAAGTAAGAAAAGAGTAAGAAACTGTCATACACTGACATTTGTTTTGAAATTTTTGAGGTTTTTTTTTAAACCTGATGGATTTGGTGATTAAATGGCTTGTAGGAATTTGTACTAAATTAGACAGAAGGGGTGTTCAGTATATAAATTTTCAAGGATTCATAGAATCATAGAACAGCCCAGATTGAAAGGGGCCTTGAAATACCATCTGGTCTAACATTTCATCGGAGAGGGAGCACCCTGTCCAACTGCATCTTAAAAAAACCTCCAGCAATGGAGACTAGTGCCAAAAGTTATTATCCTTTTGTTATTTTTATTATTGATTTGCTTTAGCATTTTATTGCTGTCAGATAAAAAAAAATTTCAATACTGCATACGGTGAAAAGTGAATTGCATCGTTTGCTTTTTAAAGAATTAAATGCTTTTCAATTTTAAAAATTGTTTCAGCTGATTGTAATTCAGCTGAATTAGAAAAGGAAGTACTGATTAGAAATCAATGCATGCTTTGGGAATCCTAGATGCATTTTTTAAGGTAGTGGTAAAGACAGATAATACTACAAAACAAAAAAACCCATTACCTCTTTCATGCTCTTGCCTTCAGACAAAATCTGTTCCAATTGTGTAGGAGATGACAGTTTCGTTGTATATAGACTGAAGATGTCTGTTCTCTGTTGTCTGATACTTGGAATGATAGTTAACTGTCAGTTACCTAGAATTTTTGCAGAATATGACTAAATTCTTATGCATTAGCCTTTTTTTTTACCCTCATACTTGAAATTCTGATTTATGGAATCTTAATACTGTGTATTCTGGGTTGTTTAGGCTTTGGGGGGTTTTGGGGTTTGGGTTGGTTTTTTTTTTTTGGTGCAGCTTTGGGGTTTGGGTATTTTTTTTTTTTTTTTTGGTGCAGCTTTTTTTTTTGGGTTTGGGGGGTTTTTGGGTTTGGGTTTGTTTTTTTTTTTTGGTGCTTTGGGGTTTGGGTATTTTTTTTTTTTTTTTTTTGGTGCAGCTTTTAGTGTTGTGAATTAGAGTGCTAAAGTAGGATTTCTGTAAGCAACCGTACTCACTTTATTATGGCCTTGACCTTTCTTGTTAGTACTGTCCACTTTTTACAGTAGTCTGTGAGGCATGTTGGGGGGAAGTAGCATGAATCCATGCATGTAAAATCCATTTCATTATTTACATGCATAAAGGGTCTCAGTGAAGGCTGCTAGCTGGCCAATAGCTGTCTTTGCACTTAATACAGTTTTTTTGGAGTGCAATGTAAAGATATTTTTCAGACTTGATGTCAGCATAATGGTTTGGGTGGTTTTTTGGGTTTGTTTTGGTTTTTTTCTTTGGTAAAGGCTAGTTTATGAGATGCAGCTTTTTATTCAAGTGTAAGCTACCTGAGTGTGTGTTAAATGCTAAAACTGTAAAGGTTAAGCATTTATTATCAAGGCACTTAGTTGTCTACTTCCTGTGTTTTTTATCTTCTTATTAAATTACATCTTAGATATTAGAAAAATTATACTTGTTTTTAATTTTGTAAAATGTACAATGTAGTGGATTATACAAAACTCCCTTCTTTTGTACTTTCTTTAATGTGATATCCTCACAGTATTGGCTATACATAGTATTTGTATTTTTCTGAGTAGCAGCATAGGGTTGCAAAACCCTGCTGTATCAGTTGATTTAGTCAATCCCTTAAACCTGGCAATGTGAAATCTGCCAAATCCTGAGGGTAAGCCTCACCTGCCACCTCAGGGTATACCTACACCAGGACACAAGTATTTTGCTCCAGTCAGCAACAACTTTCTTCTCATGCCTACCAGTCACAGCCAGAAGACTGACATGAAGAAACCAGTCAGTGGGGTCAAACATCAGAAGGAGGTTTGTTCCAGGGAGATAAGTCTTAGGTCTTTAGTGAAGTTTCAGTGCTGCTAATGGAATTCAGTTCAGCTAGCAAACCAATTAAAAAAGCAACAGATCCCAATCTGCTTACTCATGGTATAAATATGTTGGCCTTTTAAAATCCAGTTAGGAGTACCTGTGTGGAGTAGCAGGATCTGGCCTTTAGGCTATCTGTGGCTGCATTGCAAAAAATGTAAAGTGCAAGTAGATGCTGTAGACCAAATAACTGCTACTTGCATAGGAACTAAAATTCTTACACTTTTTTTTTTTTAGTTGCTTGGATATTACGTAGGCGTGTTTACCTGTTAATAGATTTTGTTACATTTACGACTTACCTTGGACTACTTTGAAAGATGGTGGTGGTCTAAATGACATAGCTGTGTAGCCAAGCAACTAGGAATATGGAAGTCTGAATCTGAATATGAGCTGAGTGTATTGCCATACAAATGCTGTGTTTTCACAGATGGTAACCTGGGCTCCACAGCTGAATCCACTGTATTATTAATGTGTACTGAATATCGTTGTATATTTTGAGCAGAGCTGTGGGAACTAGATTTTTAATTTTATTTTTGGTTGTTCCACAGCTTTTTATGTGACTTTTCACTTGTATTCAGAATTAGTAATGTGTATTTCAGAGGTGCTGTGAGATTTAAATTCCATGTTTGTGCAATACTTTATTTTCCTTCAGTAAGAGGTGCCATAAGTACAAAACATTTGTCCCATACATACTTCATGTTAGTTTGTGACACAACCTGTTTTCTTTTTATTTTGTTTTGTTTCTTACTTTTGCAGGATTACTTCCTTTTATTTTTCCCCCCCAAGTTCAAATGCTGTTTGTATCTTATGCCATCTTTTGGATGCCTGCTGGGTCGGTGTTAAGCTGCTAAAGTATTAATTTTTGTCTCAGTAGCATGTAGTATTAAATGTAAACAGTGCAGTCTTCTCTTGTTTTTTGATATTTGAGGTAATCAGAATTGAACAGAAGTCTTTGCTCAGATTACTGTAAATACAAACTTCATTGAACTATATTAGTAACTGGATTGTTTCAATTTTAAGCTGTGGATGATTTTTCTGTAGGTAAGTAAAATTCTCAAGTCATTCTTAATATTTGTAGAATGATATAGATGCAAGCAAACCCACCCCAGTACTGAATACGTCTAAGCAGGATGGACCGATGCCAAAACCACATAGTGTTTCACTTAATGATACTGAAACAAGGAAGCTAGTGGAGGAGTGCAAAAGACTTCAAGCAGAGATTATGAAGCTGACAGATGAAAATCGGCACCTGAGAGTAAGTTCTGCTTCTATGTTTATATTCAAGTGGCTTCACTCTTCTTGATTGAAAGGTCGGGTTTGTAATTAAGCCAATAGATGTGTATTCCAGAAAGTAGATACAACTGTTAGAATGTCAAGATTGATTTGTAATATGATTTTACTGTCCTGGACATACTGTGTATTTTGAACTTCTCAGCGATTGAGACTTCGTGATTGTCATATATGAGATACTGAAACTGCATGATTTATGGTCCCATTTAAGGTGGTATTAGTTACTTTAAGTCTAAATCTGAGATACTGAATTAGTAGCTTTATTAAAAGTGCATTATTATTCATTAAGAAAGAGTAAGTGACATCCAAAGCAGTAACATTCTGTATCACAAATTGTTAGTGAACAAGAACAATTGTTTGCACAGGGGAGGTAAGCAAACACTACTTTCCATTACATTTATGTAAAGGTGCCATTTCAGTAACCTGTCAATATGTGACTTTTCTATATGTTTGCTTTTGGGTTTCATTGGCCACGGTAGCCTTTTAAAGAACCATGAAATAATTGTCTCCACACACCTGTAGTTCTGATGACATTAGAACATTTGGAGAAACACTACACAAAGCAGATGTTTCTCTTTAACAGTAAGGAATTACTGCTGTTTAATTCTGACACGTAGTAAGTAAAAGCAGGGATCTTCATTTTGCCTAGCAAGAATTTCAGAATCTTTCTTAACCAGGGCATGGAGAGAGACTAGTGGATTACCTGTCCTTATTTGAAATACTATGGTTTGCTATGTTCATATCTTGGATTTTGGTGTGGTGTAATGTTTTGGTGTTTTGTTTTTTTTTTTTTAAACTTTATTTTAATGTTCACCAGTAAATTTGGCCTTTGAGTTCAGTTTTTACAATTGTAAAGAAGATGTATTCATAAATATTTTTCCATCTGTGTTTTTTTTTTTTTTTTTCCCCTCAGGATGAAGGCTTGAGGCTCAGAAAGGTAGCACACTCGGATAAATCTGGATCACCCACAGCTTTGGCCCTCAGAGATAACGGCTCTAATTCTCTTCCTTCACTCCTTGTTGTAATTGCAGCCATTTTCATTGGATTCTTTCTAGGGAAGTTCATCTTGTAGAAAGAATGAGTGAGAGAAGCATGCAAAATGCAGCTTCCTTTTTTTTTTTTTTTTTTTTTTTATTTTCTTCTTCTTGGCCAGAAAAAGATTTGTTTACCTACCACTTCATTGGTAGTATGGCCCCAGTGGCCATTTTTGTGTACAGCATCATAACAGGCTTTGCCTTTAATGATCTCGCACGGTTAGAAAACACAATCTGAAAAGACAAACTGTTCGGCTACTGGACAAAATTGTACATTAAGTCATCAATAGCAGGTGTCAATTGCACAGTCAGTCCTTTATGAAAATTCATAAATAAAGAATTGTTCTTTCTTTCTGTGATTTTAATAAGAATTCAAAAATTGTTCAGAGTCTTGTAAATGTTATTTTAATAATCCTTTAAAATTTTATCTGTTGCTGTTACCTCTTGAAAAATGATTTATTAGATTGCTAATCCCACTCATTCAGGAATACGACAAGAGGTATTGTGGGGGAAATGGTGCCTCTTACTGTGTAAATTTTCTCCTTACCTTACTTTGCTAATACCATGGCAGAATTTCTTTCTTATCCCTTGTGAGGCATTGTTGAGAGTTCTTCATCCTTACAATCCTGTCCCATAATATTTAACATTACAAAAGAAATAAAATCGTTAACAGATTTTTCTGCTGGGTAGCCTGTTTGTGTGTGTCGTACTTCTAGAAGGGATTCCTAACAAGTTCATTGTTCATGGTAATTTGCTACTTGTAACAAATGGCTCTTTTGAAGTTTATTTGCTTAAGTCTCTGGCTTAGACTGTTGTAATTGAAGCTTGGGGCGGGGAGGGGGGGAAGGTTTCCATTCCATTTGTTTAAAAAGATGAATTGTTTTCTGGCTGCTTTCAGCTACAGAGGGGATGGTTATCAAACTTGTTTTGGGACAGAATAATTTGGATATCCAGCAGGTACAAATACCAGACATGAATGTTTTGAATGTATTAACAATCTGCTTGGATTGTGCGGGAGTGTAATAATCAACCTTCTGTTCCATCTTTGGATCTTCTGGGTGTCTTCCAGGAGTCAACATTATTCTTTGATTTCATAAGAATACCTAATTCACATATACTAACTTGCTCAGTTTGTAATTCTGTTTTAGCACATATTCAAAACTGCAATTTGAATGATTCAGACACCCATAGTGAATTTGGTGATGCAGAAGAGTTGATACTTGCCAAGTGAGCCTCAGTTGCTCACCTTTTGAAAACGAAAATCGTTTTTATGCAACTCTTGGCAGATCTACCTGTGTTAACCATGTATAGCTAAGTTTTAAAGAATGCGTTTTTTGGGGGTCTGAAATGCTTCCCTGCACTTAATCTCATGTCTTGCCTCATCTCTGAATATGTCATAAAACCAAACAATAGTATCGGAACAAAATATTATCTGTACTTCTGACTAAGCATAATCCAATACAGGGAATTACTTGTAAAATGAAAAATTGCAGAAGGGATATACTCCTGTAAGCAAAATTGTGTATTCTCTTGGACAGCTTGACTTGATGTGGTGCAGCTAAGTGTGTTAGACCTGGGTATATGCACACCTTATGTAGCTGAGAAAAATGTTCTGGAGAAGATGTACGTTATCTTGGTTGCCTTTGATTTCTAGTGCTTTTTTTAAAAAAAGAAAACTATAATTACATCATGTTCTGTCATTGCTCTCTATGATAAACTTTTTTATAAAATCTTGCATATGTGCAAGGAAGATGATGAAGAAAATGCAAATACTGCTTATCTTTTCACTTAAGCATGCAAGCACAGATGTTTCCAATTACTTGTTCCGGTGTCTGCATTCAAGACTCCTTCCACCCCAGTGACTGGAAAAATTATGTTAAGGTCTTGATTATTTTGGTTCCGCTGGTTCAGAATGGTGTAATTCTCCTGACTTTTTTTTTTTTTTTCCTTTCTTTCCCTCTAACAGAACATTGCCACATCAAACTTTCAAAGCCTGTTCCAAACTGATTACATGGAAAATAATGAAAGCAATAGTATGCAGGATGTAGTTTGCTTCAGACAGAGCAGCCATTCCTGTGCTGAAGGCGGGGCAGGGGGGAAAATCCTCTGGAAGAACTTAATGTTTACAGCATAGCGTATGGAGGTTCTCAAGGGTAGCTAGCATTTTCGGGACTCGAGAGCAGAAAAAGGAGTCATTGCTCAATGCAGGTGACTCAGTTTTGATGTCTGGCAGCAGAAATAAGGTAAAAATAATGACAAAATCAGATTGAAATAACTTCTTTCATAAATAACAAACAGGTGGTGGTAAAACTTGGTCATGACTTAAGTAATGTCTTCAAAGTGAAAGTGTGCAGTGGTCTTGTAACCAGTGTACTTACTCATGGTATAAGGAGACTGTTGTGGTTTCCAGTAATCCCTTCATAGCTGTATATAAAATGTAATGCTAAAACTATTTTGCTCTCAGGAGTCACTTTGGATGAGATCAACTGTATTCAGTGAATTATGTAATATGGATTAAATTGTTTGTCTTTGATCCTGAAATGGTTAAAACTTCTTGCTTTGTTTGCCTGGTTACCTGTGTATGTAAGCACGGGGAAATACAGTCTCCACTGCTCCTGGTGATATGATCAGGCAACGATGCCCATAAAGCCACGTGAGGCTAAATGTGTATCTTCAGTTAAATATGCATTGCAGTTTGCTCTTCTGATTTCTTGGAAGGGCAAGATGGAACAAATATACAGTATCAGAGTACTATTTTAAAGTTTTTATGAATATAGCACTTTAAAAAAGGGTAGTATGATGGTTTGGGGAGGGGGGGAAGCCTGGTGAAATAGAAGATACAGCTTCTGTAGTAATTCTGCGCACCAAATTTAAGCCACTTTAAAAAAAAAATATATATATATATATGAAGTTCATTTAAGAAGTTATTTGTGTCAATGCACAAGTTGTTTGTGCACTTCTGCTCATTCTCTAAAAGCTGTTGACAAACACAGTTGCCGAGGCTTGCATGTTTCTGCTGCTATGATTGAAACCGTTTTACATATAAGAAGTAACCAAACACTAGCTTGAAACTTGGGAGGAGTTATCCTTATTATCCTCTTGGGAGGCGAGGGTGGAGGGAGGAGGTGGAAGGTGACATTTTGCCAAAGGGGAAGAGACAAAGTCAATAAGCAAAACTTATCTTTCAGGCCTTCTTCAAAGATATTAAAAGCTGAAGTGTTAATAAACCATGAAAAACGTAGTAGTGTCCTTTTTATTTTGGAACTTCTCCCTGGCTATGTGCGTTCTGTAGGCTGCTGACAGTGAAGAGATGAGTCTAGTCCACCTCACAGGTGGCGTAACTGCCCTGCTTCCAGGTACTGCTAGTAAAGAGCCCGGAGCTGGCGTGGGTGAAGATTTGGTGTTGGGGTGAAGAGCTGGTGCCTGAATCGAGGCAACACTGAGAATGCTGATGGCTTGTCAGATTCGTAACAGTCGCTGTGACAAAGAGTTTTCTTTTTCCTCTCTGGAGTCCCTTGGTCCTTAAGCTTGAACTGTCTTGCCAGGGCAAATGCTTGCTTCAGTCAGTGGCAAAAGATGGAATGAGCGCTACGCAGTTACAGAGCGACCCTACCAAACATCGACTGTAATAACTCTTTGTGGTTATAGGTGGGATGAAATTCTGTAGCTCCTCTTCTTAGCCGTGTTGCTGTGATTGTAAGAGGTCACCACTTTGCTTTTTCTACGCTGGTTCCTATGGAACAGCCTTGCGGGGTGTGTCCTGGAGGGCACATCCCCCTGTGGCACTGCCCGCTCCTGCTGGGGAGGCTCCATCTTGGCTGATCTTGAGCTTCTGTGGCAGCTTTAGTTCCGTGGCACACTTCAGTGTTGGAGACTGAATGCAGTTTTCACAAGGGTTTGAGCTCCTGTAGGAAGGACTGAAACCAACGACGATTAAATGAGACAGATTTCGTTGTTTCCTGTCGGAACTTCTTTCCCAGGGGCACTCAAATAACGTCAGCAAGTATATGGTGGAAGCTGGTCTGTCGCGTTTTTCTGTTTGAATGCAGGTTACGTATGTTTAAGAAAAATTCCCCGATTCTGATAGGGCTGCGTAAGCAGAGGTAGTGATGGTGTCATCACCTTTATTTGCCCTCTAGGTGACAAATAGCTGTGTGGAAGTGAGGTCTGGTGCAAAAGCAAAGCAATTGATTCTTCTCTTTTATCTGGCTTTCTCATTACTGCTAGATGGTAAGGTCAGCACCTTGTCCTCTTTTCCTGGGACAAGGGGTTTATGTGTTTGCATGGTGCACGGGATCTAGGAACTGATTTGGATGAAATACAATTTGTAGGGGATGAAAGGTTTTGTTTTCACCACATCGTGGTATAAGCATCTCCCCCCCCATGTTAAAGTGCCATTTTATTTATTTGAAGCTTGGTACCAGTTTATGTATGTTGATGGCATTGCCAGCAGGGTACTGAATCCCTGTTCATACAGTAGCTACTTCTGTTGCTGGCAGTGGTGGAATGCTGCTCTTCCCCTCTCTCTTCTTGAGAAAAGATTTCAAGGGTGTTACAGTACCGAGGCACAGAGGCGTGAGAGACAGCTATTATAGCTAAGCAGTCTGAGCTCAGGCACTTGAAATAAATGAAAAAATAATTGAAAGGTGACTGAAATAGTTATTAATTCTTACCTTTTAAACTTGTGTATAAGAAAAAAGCATTGTGAGTAGGGTGGTTGGGTTTTTTTTCAGTTAGTCTGCATATCCAAGTTCTGAAAAAAAAAAAAAACCAAACTGCTATAGTATGGGAATAATTATTTCAGGGTTGTCCTGGTTTCAGCTGGGATAGAGTTTTCTTCTCAGTAGCTGGTGTAGCGCTGGGTTTTGGATTTAGTACTAGAATAATGTTGATAACACCCTGATGGTTTAGTTTTTGCTGAGCAGTGCTTACACTAGGCAAGGATTTTTTTAGCTTCCCCTGCTCTGCCAGGTGCACAAGAAGCTGGGAGGGGGCACAGCAGGGACAGTTGACCCCAACTGGTCATTCCATACTATATGACAGCATGCTCAGGATATAAACTGGGGGGAGTTGGCTGAGGGGCAGCAATCGCTGCTCGGGGATGGGCTGGGTGTTGGTCAGTGGGTGGTGAACGGTTGTGTCACTTGTTTTTCTTGGGGTTTGTTCCTCTTGTTTTCCTTTTCACTACAATTTATTATTATATTTTATTTTATTTCAATTATTAAACTGTTCTTATCTCAACCCACGAGTTTTCTGACTTTTGCCCGTCTGATTCTCTCCTCCATCCCACTGTGGCAGGGGAGGAATAGTGAGCGGCTGCATGGTGCTTGATTGCCAGCTGGGGCTAAACCATGACAAGGAGATTCTTAGAAGTTTATCTTTCTGCTACTGCTGATGCAGGTTCCCGTGCATGGGTGAATTCAGAGAGAAGTCACTGGTGAGAGAGAAGTCACTGGTGATCAGTGTCAGGGCTGTTCCCAGAGTGGGTAGTAATTAAATAGCGATCTTTGTGAGTGCCTCCGTCTGCCTTGTAAGGATGCCTTATCCTGCCTTTAGAGGTGGGGAAACTGAGGCACAAATGTTGGGACAAATGATGGGGAATGGATGGTTGAGGCACAGCCCCTGTTCTCTAGCACACGCTCCATCCTGTTTCTCATCAAGCCTTCCTTGAGCCCTGTTCAAGACTCTCACTCTTTTTTTTTTTTTTTTTTGGGGTTTCCAAAATGCGGCTTTGTGTTCCTTGGAAATTTTTCACAGGCTGTTAAAGCACCTTCCCAAAGGCAGCTGTTGCCTCCTCTGTTCCTGATGCAGTGCTGAACAGGCAGA